GATTTTGTTCAAACAGATTTACATCAATGGAAAAATCAATTTATTCAGCTAAGCGATGAACTTAACAAATTATCAAATATTACGATTAAACAAGATTTAGAAACACTTGTGAACAAAATTTATGTTGATATATCAACTACTTAGTAAGTGTTGTTGATATTGAATCTTTTACTGAAGATAGCGGAAACATTATTGAAAGATTCAAATCTTGAAATTTATCTTCATAACAATGGTATCTTAGCGATGAAACTTTAGAAGTCCTTAATTCTTACACAGAACTATATCGAAGAAAATATAGAATTGAAAAAAGAATTACTTGTAATGACATAATTCTTATGAGTTGAATCATTGAAAACGATATCGTCATAGCATACCACTTACCATCTATCTCAAAAGTCTTGAATGTATTATTTTTGATAAAAACATAATGTCTCTTGATTCATATGAACTAAATCAATTCTTACGCTGAATCTATTTCTGTTTTAAACTGATTATAAAATTTTTCACAGCGCATAGTAATCAAGAAAACGGACACGGTATTTTATTCTGATTAATCAATTTGTCATCTTTCGATAATTCAAATCATTATCAACTTATCAAATTCTCATCAGGAGTTATCATTTGATCGACAAGGTCGATAATGGAAATCATCGAATACAACCTTTCAATATTGATTCAAGCTCCAGTTAGTAGTGATATATAGCAACTCTGAATGAACTGTCGTCATTATTTTACATTTTACTCTTGTTAGTATGTCAGCTGAAAACTTCTTGTAAAATAAAAGTTTGCTACAAAGTTTTGGTCAGTCATTGTTAAAGCAAATACATTTGTTACATTTCTGCTAAGATGATTGTTGAATGAAGTCTTAATAAGTCATAAAATATGACGAAAAGAATCTTAAACGAAGACTCTGTTTTCTTCAATGATATATTAGAACATTTTTTGTAGAAAATAGAGTATGTGAATTATTTATATTCAGATCAAAACCATCAATCAATCGATACAAAAGCGGCAGCAGAATAAACTTGAAGATTTATCGATACTTTTACCGTTCAAAACTTATTCGCAAAAGAATTCGCTGTATTTCGCGTTTAAGCTATCTAAAAACTTGAAAATGAGCAGAATGAATTCAAATTACGAAAATCAATGATATCAGTTAATATGTGATTTTTGACTAGCCAATCGAAACTTAATTCGATATGGATGATATTACACAAACAGATCACAAAATGTTTCTGCTTATCATTATGCTGCGTAATTAAACAAATTTTAATAATAAAAAAATGTGTGAAAAAATTTTATGAATTTAATGTAAGCCAAATGATTCAAAATTTATAGATTTAGATTTAGCCGCTGAATTATTTATTAAAATCAGTATTGAGAATATTAGAAAACAACATTTTTATTGATAGACTTGACATCAAATATTTTGATTTTATATTTAAATCAAGTATAAGAGAAAATATATCTTAGTTTCAAAACATTCTAAGAAAATTCAATAGCATCTCATCAGTTTTCTGTAGCTGAATTATGCTAACAATCTGCTTTCACTTGAAGGATTGTGTTAATAATAAGAGCATAAAAACTGTCCTACATTTTTTTTTCTTCTTTGAAAAATCTATGATCAGTAAGCAAGTCAACATAGATATGAGAAAAAAAGATATATCAAGTCTTTAAAATTTTTGAATGATGTCTGTATGATTTTTATGACATTTTCAAAAGACGACACGGTAATCGAATCTACTTGAAAATTGAGTATCTCAAGACATGCTAGTTTTCGTTGAAATTTTCAGAACTACCTAATGACTATCAAACGTACTTATACACATAATTTTGGCTTGAAACTTTTTGTTTTGAGTTTTTCGAAAATGCTTTGCCCACAATGAAAACTGCATTAAAACATCCATAGCTGCTCAATAGTAGGCCATGAACGCGAAATACCTTGAGCTTTTCTTAGTCTCACCGAGGCCTACCCGTAGCTTTATTGCAAAGTTAAATGGCATCCGACAGTTGGATATGTTCCCTCGTGAACCTATTCGGACCCTACTCTAGTGACACCACTATTTCAGTTACATAAGCATTTTATAAGACGGCGTCTTTTTACCTTCTCTCATTTGAAGTTGCAACTTTTCACGATGATTCACTTTGTTGTGATCTTTATTGACGCAAAAAGGTAAAAAAAATATGGGTTTTTTCTTATTCTTATTTTTTTCCTTTTGATTTCTCAGCAAACACAATTATCGAACGAATATTCAACACATGACAGCAGCGACAACTGACAGAAGTCTGTGCGATATATGTCAAAAAGCAAAAGGAATATTAAAATGTGAAGGTTGTTCAAAAACCTTTTGTTATAATCATTTTAGTGATCATCGTCAAGAATTAAATCAACAATTAGATGAAGTTGAAGTTAGCCGTGATCTTTTTCGACAAACACTAACTGAACAAACACCAGAACTACAAAATTATATTTTAGTACAACAAGTTAGTGATTAGGAACGTGATTCAATTGACAAAATTCGACAAACAGCA